CTTCAAGTTAAATGGATTTCTTAGTCCGTTTCCTGACACGTTTGGTACACTATTGTTCCAACTTGGTTTAGGTTGAATTTGTCATCTTAAAAATTAGGAAGCCTTGCTGAGTTTTGGACAATTGCAATCATATCCAACTTTAAATGTCAAATGACTCTCAGAGACCCACAAAAAAAGCCGATAATGCAAAAATGAGTTGGACCTTATTAGATTCCAGTATTAAATGGTCATTAAATAAATCACTTGGGAAAAATGTCCACTGTGGAACATAAGCAGCCTAGGTGAAGGTAGAACTTTAGAGAATGTACAGGCTTGGGAAAAAAGGGTTCCCAAGATGGAAATTCACAGGTAGAAGGATGATGAGGAAGGGAATTGTGCTGCAAAAAAAGTACTGAACAGGAAAGAAGGAAAAATGGAAGGGAAAAATTTAAAACAACTGTATAATTAATTCTTTTCAGAAAGGATAGAACATTATCATTGTAAAATAAACCGAGTTGTGAGTATTGTGAATATGTAAGTCATACCTTAATGCCTGCAGGGATATTGTCCTGATACACAAGAAGGAAATGGCCTATACAGTCATCTAAGAGGAGAGTCAGTCAGACCACATTTAAAACAAGAAACTACAGAGCCTGCAAATTATTCTAGAAAGCCAGCCAGTGCATATTATTTTCTACTTGTTGATCAGCAACATTCTGATATTGTCCTAACAAGTAGGAGAGGCTGCAATCTTGGCTTACCCAAAACAATTACTTGTTACTGTGATCTGATTATCATGCTAATAGTTTGGCTCCTCTGCTCCTGAAAACCAGCTTGTTGTTTTCTAATATGGGTGAAAAATGCCATGTAACTTCGAAAGATAAAGACAACCAATTTAAATAATCTATTGACTATCATCATATAAATCTTGTTCTAGACACTTCTTCACCAACTCAAAAGTGTGTATTTTGTTTTCCTGTGCTCAGCTGAAGTCACTGGGGAGGAGGGCATGGGGAAGTACTATCAAGTAGTAGTACTAATCTTCTGTACTGCTTTCTGGAGAAGACCTGTAGCTACCTTATTTGACATATATGGGAATAACATGAAAGATTTTAAAGACAAAACTTAAGAAAAGTTCTTGGTAACCTCTGTACCCCATCTAGACAAGTTACAGACCCTGTCAGCATTGCTGATCAGTCTTGAAGAAATCACAGCTTGCGAAACTCCAGAAAAGGCTAGCAAGTGGCATAACTTTAAAAGGGTTTTCTGTCAGTCTTCCTGGAATTATTAGATGCCCTCAAGGGTTTGTAACTTGAGTTTTATGTGTGGCTTTTATACTGTTTCCCAGGTTCTTGAAGCAAGGTGAGACCTCAGTAAATCCACGTGTTGATGGACAGGGGAGTTGTCCTAATATTTAGCACAGAAATACAACATGAATTTTTTAATTTATGATTGGATAAGTGAAAGTTACACTTGGAGAGAGTGTGGCATATGATCTAACACTGTCCTCTATTGTCCAAGCACTCCTCCCTTGGGGTTTAATCATGGGGTGCTGGAGGCAGAGTTTTTTTACCCGAAAGAGGGAGGCCCCAGCTCTGGATCTTGCTTTCCTAGTGGATTTGCTGGTTGACTTCCAGTGCAACTTGTTTTATCAGGTTCTTTTTTTTTTTTTTTTTTTTTTTTTGGCAGAGATACATAGCTAGGTAGAAGGTGATAACTTTTATTAATTTTGAGGCTGCTTGTTTGCTGTGTCTTGCTTTTTCTTAATTTTGTCCCAACACTTGTGTTGGTTGTGTGGAATTTGGGAGTTCTTTTTCTTTTAACCCTTGCAGTATGTTTAAATAAAAGAATAAAATATTTTCAGAATAAAAGATTTGCTGTGTGAACTCACGGCTCTTTCAGAATTAAGCAGGGTATGCAGTGACTGGTGAAAACAGCCAGTGCTTGATTCCTAAAATAACCCAGCAGTCTCCTCAGTCCTCGACCTTTCCGCCTTTGGCCCTTTGCTGTGATGTGTCCTGCGGAGGTGTGATCTTGTGCTGGATCCAGCTTATCCTTGCAGCTCCCAGTTCCAGAGATGACTGTACTCCTGGAAGCATGGTCATGACTCAGTGCTGCGTTGTAGCAACAGGAGTACTGCGGTGAATGTTTTTCAGCTTGGGGGGTTAAGCCCTGGAAAGTAACAATTGATTTGGTTGATCTTTATGATCTGTTAGGATGCTCTTCCTAAATCTGCATCTTATGAACACACATCAACGAGCAACAGTTTTTGTCTATTAACACTCTTTATAAAATGAGCCAAGCGGTAGCTCTCAGTCTTAATTTTTTTTGTAGTTTTTATATCACTTGTTTGCCTTCAAAAAAAGGAAAGCCTTGGTTGTCATTGTAAAGCAGAGTGATTTTTTGGTGTTTTGAAGAACCAATTTGACTCCTATAAACTGCAAACAAAAGCTTTGAAACAAAAGTAAGTGTTGGGCCTGGCAAGGAAGGGATGATTCAATAGTGCCTAGGACAGGAAGGCTGTCTCCTTGCCTTGGTACAGTGAGAGAAGCTCAGGTACAAGGTGATAGAGGTGTCTACCTTGAGTCCTTCAATTAAGAGTTGTATTCCTTAAAGTACCTCGATATTAAATTAGACTGTGCAGATAGCTCCATTGGTGATAGTTTAATGTTTGAGAATGGGAATACTTCAAGTGACTGAATTCCCAGTGTCTTAATTTATTTTCGTCTGTGAGATATTATTAAGAAGCTACTAATTCAACTGCTTTTCATTAAAGGGAAAAGCATATTTCCTGTATATCTAATTAGGAATAATATTTATGTAATATTCTTATTTGAATTATCTGAGACTTTCATTTTTCTCCCACTACACTCAAGAGAAGTTACATATGATTCAGGTTTTGTTCCAAGATCATTTTGGTATTCAATTTAGCACTGCTTTTTAAAAGGAATAGAAAGTACTGTAAGCCTGGTCTACTGCAGAACTCTGGTAATGCGTGTTTTTCTTGTTTCTCAAGATAGTCCTGGAGCAGTCTAAGCCAATTTTTAACACTATTTAGAAACTTCAATGAACATGATACAACTTCCTAACTGTTACAAAAAGTTACATGTGTAATAGTAAGTGACAGCAGAATTATTCATTTGCTTAAGAATGTGTTCACACAGTTAAGCAAGTCTGAAGTGCAGTCTGAGGGGAGATCATTTAAAAATAGAAAATGAACATAGGTAATCACTCAGAATTTGCTCACTGTCTACACAGTTTATATTAAAATAGATGAAAACAAATTCTTAAATCAAATCACATTGAATTCACCCTTGTTGGGGGAAGTTTTGAAGTTGTGCTCAAAGTGTAAATCCCTGCTAATTTTCTGTTAAAGGAAGGTTCCATATGCACAAATTGACTTTATAAAATATGAATACATGATAAAGTGCTCTGCTGAATTAGAACCACCAACTAAAGCAGAAAAAACGTTGCTTTTTATAAATTTAAAATGGTAAGGTAGCCTGAACAACCTAAATTATTGCTTTGAGAGGTAAATTCAAGTAATCATTTAAAATACAGAGAATTAAGAATATTTAATGAAACAGTTCATATATTAAGAAATAAGGGTCAAATCTTACAGTCTATGCTTACGCAAACTTCAGGTCCTGTTGAGTTCATTATGAGTAAACATGTCAAAATCTGTCTGTTAGTTATATTCTTCTCTAGCAGGAAAGCTTCAGTAGAAATTGGGAGAATTTTCCTCATGCAGTCAGTAGTTTTTAAAAGAGAATTGCAGATTTATTTTCATTAATAAATATGCAAATATGAAATTATTTTTTTAAGTGACATTACATTAAAGATTCTGTGGAAGGGTTCTAGAGAATGTGGGCCTGCTGCTGAATGGGAATATGGTCACAAAGACCAAGGAGAAGGCTAAAGTGATGAATGTCTTTTTTTTACTTCAGTTTTTTAGAAGCAGGTTAGGGAATATATAACAAACTGGATGTATGAAGGTTCGTGGGCTGTGATGGGATGGTACCACAAGTGCTGAGGCAGCTGGCTAGTGTCATCTCAACGTCACTGCCAATAATTGTTGAAAAGTTGTGGTGACTGTGCAAGTCCTCAAGGAAGGCGATCCTTCTTCTCTGCTCAGCACTGGTGACATGCACCAGGAGTGCTGGATCTGGCTCTGGGCTGTCCAGCACAGAGGAGATATGAACACAGTGGAGTGAGTCCAGGAAAGGGCTGTGAAGCTGATGGAGCGAAGCATCTGACAAGTGAGGGTAGGCTGAGAGAGCTGCCACTGTTCATCTGGAGCTGGAGAATACTCAGGATGAGTGTGGTGTGATATCTACAGGAGGGTGCAAAGGAGGAAAACCAGATCCTCCTCAATGGCATCCAGTAACAGGATGAGAGGAAATGGGCACAAAATGAAATACAAGAAATTCCATTTAAGTGTAAGGGAAAACAAAACCTATTTTCTTTTGTACACTAGGCTGGTGAAACAGAAACACTGGAACAGATTTCGCACAGATGTTGTGAAGCTACCATCTATGGAAATATTTAAATCCAACTGGACATGGGGTTGGGCAGCATGCTCTAGCTGACCCAAGCAGTGACCTGGACCTGGTGGTTTTATGCAGTCCCTACCAACCTCCACCTTTTGTGGTTTTCTAATCTCTTAGCTCTTTAGAAGTTCATCATCAATTTCACTTGTAGGTTTTTTTTTCCAAAGCTCTTTCAGTTTTGGAGCATCTGGAGACATACTGATCACGTTACAAAAAAGGTGGAGTGTTGGTTGCGGATCTGAAACAACTTTCTATTCGTTCCTTATATATTTCATGGGATTTAAAACCAGCACGTCTCTCTTTGCATTGGCTCCATTCTTGCATGGGTGTTTAATCGTAGAGTGCTAAAAGAGTCTGTATAAATAATCCTGTATTAAACAATACAGAATTTAACATTAATAACTGATTTCAAATCATTAACAAATATGGTAATAGAGCAAACGAGTAACACCTTCTAATGCTGTCTTTCAGTCATGGCCTGTATATGAAGAAGTACACAACAAAATGCTTGAGCTTGCGGCATTTTTAGACCTACCTCGTTTCCCAGATATAACAGACAGCTGCTTTCTTCATCCAGACATGTTGTGCATCAAGTACTTGATGGAAGCTAATTTACCTGGTAAATATTTTCCCTAGCCCACACTGATAAATCTTTTCTGTGGTTTATTAAACTCTGGCAAAAAGGCTCAAATTACTGCTTTTAAAGTGCTGCTCTTTTCCTCCTAATTTATTCCAATTTAAACTTGAACTGGAAGATATTTTTTCTATGGAAAGCACCTTCATCAAACATTTAGAGTATGTATTATAGGCCCAGATATGCAAGGGCATTCTGGTGTAGGCTCTCTTAATGGAGTGGATACTTCATTTCAAATCTTTCAGTATCCATGTGAACTAAGAGGCACTAGTTGAATTCATGTGATTTATTAACTTTAGCTAACTGATTAATGAGTTGGAACTTGATTGCTTAGCTCCTGAATTTTCATGTATAGTAATGTCATTATATTCTCTAATATAGAATATGTTTTGTATATTATATAATATTGCATATTAGCATTAATTTTAATATTGACACTGTGTGACAGATCAGCTGCTGTCTCACTGTATTTATGATTTAGTTCTAAAACAGTATCCTGTTTAAGTATTGACTCTTTAAGTCTTGAATACTAAATTGTCAAAGAAAGGCCAATATGTCCTAGTGTGTGAACTACCTGTTGGGTTACCATACTTTGTCAAATACCACTGTCACTGAAGATGAGTTATACACACAAACAGCCTGTAAATTAATTTTTTTTCCCTCAAAGCATTCCAACAATTTGGGAATAGGGTAGGGGGTTAGTGTCTTATTTTGCAATTAGTTACACTGAATAAAGGTGCTTGGGTTTTCTGTTTACTCGCAGTTGAATGAAGATAACAGATTTAGGGCTAAAATTCTAGAGTAGAAATTCTGATTTCATAGTTTTACACCAGTGTTATGATCCTATAGAGGATCACCTTAATTTGCAGATTCTGAAATATCAATTGGGTCAAAGCAAAGACTAGAAAATTGTAATTTTCAGATTTATTACAGAGAAATACAAAGCTAAGTGCTCTTTGAAAATTATTGTAGAAGAAGAATATATTGTCCTTTACTTTACTTTTTTCCTTGCAACTATGCTTTTTATCACGTAGAAACATTTTTTTCATTAATTGAAAAAGGACTGCTGCTGTTGTGTAACAACACCTTAAAAAAATAAGCAACGAATTGGCAGTGTTTCATAGGACACTTAAGTACTAATGAAGAGGCCATTTAAAGTATCTGAAATAAAATATACTGCTAGTATTTATAAGAAAATATAATTTCCAGAGTTTAGTTAACTTTTACTGTTATGTATGAGAGGATTAAAAACAAGTTCCTACTGAACTGTTTGTAAGCTGCAAGAGACTGTAAGTATAGCTGGATTAAGGTTGTACTTAGTCATACATTGCTAACCTTTGTGGAATCTGATGGTGATGTAATCAGCTCCTGTATTTCTTGCTGAACAGGAAAGGTGAGAAATTTGGGGGATTTGTATCTGTGAAAAATAAGCAGAGTAATAAGAGACTGTACAGATACAGCGCTGCCTGTGGAGCTGCAGTTGTGTCTTACTGGCACAACCTGCGCTAGCGGGTGCGATGGCTGCGCGGGGTAAAGCCGGGTCTAACCTGCCGGGTTTTGACAGCGGAGCAGCAAATGCTGCCCTGCCACAATCCAGCTGCTGTTCCTCTTTTGTGCAGTGCTGAATCCATCCTGCCATGGGTATTCAGTCAACATGCAGGAAAAAAGCTTGTGACAAGTTTTTTGGCTTTTGGGTTTGTTTTTTTTTTGAAACTGTATTTATGTGGATTTGCAATAGGGTTTCCCAGAAGAATATTCAGGATGATCTCACAACATCATTCAAGTAACAGCAAAACACTGTTAAATATATGGGTTTTTTTCCCCCATGTGAATATGTAATGTCATACGTGTTTTCCATGGAAGCACAGTGAAGGTTGCCGAGTATTTTTAAAAATATTAAAAAATACTCAGCCTGAAAAAAATTGCTGTCAAATGGTCCTAAAATACCTAAATACTGTTTTCCTCATATGACCAATGTATTTGCACTGTGAAAATATTTTTAGCTTGTCTTAACCTACTCCTTTTATGTTTTTATTTGTATTAATCAGATGAATTGCATAATTGGACTTGTCGAGTGGTGAAAAAAATCGGTATTGGAGAAGTGGATTTCCTGACTCTCGTGCCTGGAAATAAGTCAACAAGAAAAGTGAAATATGATATTCTTGCTGCTGCAGTTATTGTAGTTGTGCTCAAGTTACTGTTTTTATTAGATGATCACTATGAATGGTAAGTGTAAAGGCAAATCTGTAGCAAAGCCCAAATTTCAAATAGTGCAAATGATTGTTTTTTGTATTGTTCCTTCTTTAGAATTAAAGTTATAATATTGGAATTTCATTTAAGTTTGGTAGGTTAAAATGTACACCTGGAAGCATTTTAAACATGACATATTACTTATTTTTAAAAATCATTGGTTTGAATCTGAAACTTGGAATAAAATTAATGTGTCATTTTTGTCAGTTGTATTTGAACTTCATTTAAAATTGTAGCATTTAGATCTACAAAAAAGCCTGATTTTTTTTTTTTTTCAGGTCACTTTCAGATTTTGCTGAAGAAAGAAATAAAAATAACAAAGAAGGTATATAAATATTCTAGTAGAAGCAATGTTATAATGAGTAAATGAAACAACTTGGTAATCAAGCTTAAAAAGACTTGTCTTATTGATCATTAAAACGTGTTTTTGTCATTTATTCTTTTAGGGCAAATCTTTATTCAGATAAAAGAGTAGATTCTGCTCATGTAAAATGGCCTCAGTGTACCTGCATAATTCTTATTGTGCTGGATAGGGGAGTTTGGTACACCTTTTCCTAGGTACCTCTCTGCTTCTGCTTGTGCATGTTTGCCTCTTGTTTTAGAATTTTGTGCTTGCTGGGTGAAGATGAATGGATACACATAAAGAGGGAATGCACTTTGATCGTAAATAGCAGATACTTACTAGGGGCATCAAACCACATTTATGATAAAATCCAAACTTGTTTAGTCTTGTTAAATAAAATGTCTTAGTGTGTAACATATTTCAGATGTAATCTAGATTCTTAGTCCAAATAATCTTGAGAGAGTGTGGAAAAGCTAGCAGCAATTAAGATAGAGAAGATAATGGTGTGAACATGGTTCTTTGAGGGCAGAAAGACCAAATCAAAGATTAGAAATCTTCAGGAGGATGTTCCATGGCCTCATCCAGCTCACAGTTGAAGATAAGATCCAAGACGTGTTACAGTAGTTTACCTGTTAAGTCTTCCATCCAGTTTTGGGTCTATTTTGACCCTTCTGCTATTTTTTAAAACTTAGGTCAATAATAAAATTGGTGTTAGCCACATGTGAACACAACTACTGCTGTAACTAGAGACAGTCATCACTGTTAACTAAAACTGGTAATTTTCAGATGGATACACCAACTTATTGTGGATTCTTTTTTTCCTTTTTATTTCCCTTGAAAACTCAAAGTACATGATAGTGACAAGAGTGAGAGTTGTGCAACTGCTTTACAAGCTGAGGCTGAAAGCCATTAATGTCTTAATGGGGTATCTCCCTTATTAACAAGTCCCATTGCCCTTGGGAATTAACAGCTCATTCTTTGCCCACTTTTTTAGTGTAAAATCTGCTGTTGCAAATTGATCCATATGCTCTGTTATGTTGTCCCTATCCTTTAAATGTTGGGGTGATGGTGAGCAGCTGTGCAGAGGAGCTGATGTGAGAATTTCTGTTACAGCAGTGATTAGTGCCAGAGCTCAAAACTGCCTCTGGCATTTTCCCAAAGTTAGAGCGCTGAAATGAAATAATGGTTAACACTGAGTTTTAAAGATTCAGTTGTGTTGACTCTGTTCCCAGTTGTTAATTATCCTTTTTCTAGTCCTTAAAAAGTAGTATTTCAGCCTCTACAATTCTTCAAGACACACTGGAAGCTGTACAATAGGTACTTGTAGTTATCTAGTGTGTTCTATGAACTGCACACATAGACAATACAATTTATGTTCAAATAAAATGTGATTGATACATGTATATGTATGTGTGTGTCACAGAGTTCAGCTACATGACCATCAGACTAGCACTACTGGCCAGGTAAATGGTTATTACAGTGTAGCAGCGTGCCTCTGACGATGGTTTTCCTTGTGACAAATGCTTAATATTTCATATGAAATTTAATACAAATTTCTACCACCCCCAAACTGCCCTCCCAGCAGTTTAGGAGTATTTACTTAAACCTCTGGGTTTAAGGAGTTGATAGAAGAACTTGTATTCACACTGTTTAATTTGAAGAACTACTGTAGGGTCTTTATTCCCTTTTATGTGTCTGTTGCTTTTTGAGCCCATCTATATTTGTTTCATCTAGACATCCTGTGGCAGGATAACACAAATAGCAAAACTGCAGATAATAGAAAACGTACGTAAGTTTGATTGTAAGAACAGTATATTCACCTTCAGAGCAGTTCAGACAGCTGGCTGGCACAGCTGAGCATGATGCAAGCATTGCATGCAGTGCAGCTGGGGTGATGGGGAAATGCAAAGCCTGGTTAATTCACAATGCAGATAATCCACCCACAGGGAAGAAGAGTTGATTGTATTTTAAATACATAAATCTACACCTTATTTCTGTTTGGAATTCTTATCCTTACTGTACCCAGTTGGTCTGCTTCAGTTTTGTGCCTCTTTGGAGGATCAGTGATAGAGATGCTGCTACGTGTTCTATCCTTTCATGCTTTTGCATGTGCTGGTTAATATTTGTTCACGTACCAATGAGTGAAGTTCCTGTGCTCAAAACCATGGGAGGCTGACCATTGTCTAGTTTATCCTTCCAACCCTGTACAGTTTCATAGGTAGTAGTATAGGCAGTGGGAAACTGATGAAATTGTGTGAAATTTTACATCTGAGCTTCTTTAGATCTTATTTGTTTAAATGTAGGCTTGAGGTATAGTTTCATTAATCCCTTGAATTCGACTTCCAAATAGGTGAAGGTACTTCACACAGTGGAGTGCTAGTTCATTTGGTAGAGAGGAGGTAGTTGCTGGGCTTAACTTTCCAGAAAAGAGGGAAAAGGTTTGATTTGTTCTAAATCTATGAATTCTAAGCTAAGGAGCTTCTTTGCACTTCTTATGACATGCTGCTCTTTCACTCCATTTCTGCATTTCTCCTTCTCATAGAATTATTAGGTCAGGTATGTTTTCTTTAGGCACATAGCATCCAGGATAGGTTGGTATACAGGTGGAAGATGCAGGGTCTAACCATGTGGAGACCACCTTCTGTGTACTGCACATTTCTTTCATTTCTTCCCAACATAAAATGTGTCTATTTTATTCAGGTGCTCTGTATTTTGAGTTCAAGAAGTGGTACAAAGTGGTAAAACATTCCTTGGATGTGGAGCAAAAGAAATTGGATGAAGAAAGAGCCAAGTAAGAGGTTTTAAAGTATTTTTTCTCTTTTAAGTAGACAGTTTTATGTGAAATCCTGATCCCCAGGATGAAAAAGGTTAGAAATTTGCTCCACCAAGCTTGAGTGAATAGAATTATTAAATCCCTATCTTAATTTTTTATTTACACTCATAATGTTTATCAAGCTTATTAATTAAATGCTCACTTTCTGTGACAAATAGCTTATACAGCTGAACAATTAATTGGTAACAGTATATCTAGGCTTATATACCTTGGCTTGCCTGCTCTGAAAAAGACTTTCTGGGTGTGTTGGGGGAGAGTGGATTTTAAAAGCACTAACCATTAGATTATTTTGGTTTTAATTTAAAACTCTAGGAGTATTTGTAAGAAATTATTATTCTTTCATTTGTTTGCTCCAGCTTTCTTTTTCTTAACAATTCTTATGTCTCTTATGGGTAGGTACCTGTGGAGATGTGAAAAACCACTGTTTTATTCAGTCAAGAATAAATCTAAAGTTCTAAAGAGAAGACGTGAGTAAACTTTGCTTGCTTCTCAGCGATGCAAAAATCTGCTCAGATTTTTCCCATCATAGGAAATCTGCAGGCCTGACTGATAACATTTACATCATAAAATACTTTCTCTCCTCTCTTTCATCTCTGGGTACAATTAATGTAGTACTGTTTTACAACCCATGGCTGGAATTTTTCAAACACACATAATTCAAACTGCCTTTGCCAGTCTTCCCAACAACGACACAGTCTTCCCACTGAATGACATCTGGGAATGAGTACTCTGTCCCCATCTTCACTGGTTTGTCAGCTGCCTTTACATCACTATGTTCCTTGTGAATTGTTGTTGGACTTCCATAGCTTCCATATCCTTTGGTATGAATATCCCAGTATGTCCTTTGGTAGACCATCTTCTCTCCCACTCCTTGGAATATTCTGCAGAAAGTGAGGAAGGCTTTACTTGAGTGGCCAGCTGCACATGGTGGAATGCAGCTACAGCTACTTTATTTTAGTAACTCTAGCAGTACTTATAAGAAATTACTGGGGTTTACATTGACATAAAAGCAAAGAAATGAAACAACAAAACCCCACTTATCTGTGGAAACATGTAAAACCGGAATTTTATTCAACCAAATTAGATCTGAAGTTCTTCATTCTACAGTTAGTATTATCTAGAAAGCAGCAGGTATTGGAGAGAGATGTTAAGTGTGGTAAGTGATATTTTTCCCTTTATATGCTCTTCCAGTTTCAGGGACTTCTAAACAAGTTGTATAATCCCATTTGATTTGAATTATTCAATTTGGATTTCTCTTTCAAGAACACAGTGAGGGGTTTTTTTTTATGTCTTACTCTTCAAAATTCGGTAAGGGTGATCCTGCAGTCAGTTGATGTTCCATGGAAAAGCATTTATTTCAAGCTGATCATTGCTCAGATGTCCTTTAACTCCTGCATTTGTAATAAAAGAGATTCCTCGTGGAGCTAGAAGACCACTTAGATTGCCACTGCTGCTGTGATCAGGAATATCACATAATGCCACTGTAACTGGACAAGATTCATCTTAAAACAAATGCACAGTAGAAGAGACAGAGTATCTAGAACTCTTACATTCTAGATACAGGTTTTCAGAAACCTTCCTAAACCTTTGGTTTTGATCATAGATTTTGGCATCCACTTGAAAGATAAACTTCATAGTCCTTGGATTAATTTAGGATTTTTTTTCTGTTTGTTTTTTTTTTTTCCAATGTATGAATGAGTTTCTTCAAATCCAGGTCATGAAAAGAAGTCAAAGCTCCAACAACAATGGTTTTTAACCTTCTTTTAATCCTAGGAAACCAGGCTTAGGCAGTCATACTGTGTGTGCTGATCTATCATGATACCTTCTTGCCCTTCTCAGCAACTTATGGAAGTTTGTCATTCATTCAGTGGGCAAAGGAGAGTGGGCTTTTTTCTTGGTTTTTTTTTTCCCAGTTGAAATTTGCACTATGAAAAGCTTAACCTTGAGTCTGTGTGTGTGAATGTGTTTTCTATCAGCTTAAAAATCCCAGCAGGAGTGCCCCACTACTAATGTCATTAGGTATGAAAGACATGGTATTTTGAATTATGTTTCAAAATCTTTTCACTAAAACATGTAAAGACTTGAATTTTAAATAGAGTGGCAGAGAGAACATACAGTTACAAGATTTCTCAATATTTCTCACAGAGGTTTAAAGAAAATAAAGAAATAAAAAAACCCCACAAATACTCTATTTTCTTCCTGTATTAATCACCTCCAAGCAGTATTCTGATACTTAATGCTTTTGCCTTGGTTTCTTTTCTTTCTGTTTGTACAGAAATGGTTGTGAATTTACAAAATCAGTTTGGCAAGCTGTCTGGTTCGGTGCGACGTGCTGAAAAGCCAAATCCTTCAAGTTTTCAGTTAAGTTGGTCTGAAGAAAACACAGATGGGAGTTGTTTTCATGGGCATAGCCTGAAGGGAATTTTGCAAGAAAAATGTGGTTTACTTACAGCCATGAACCCTGACTATTGGCTGTGTACAGTTAAACTATGTAATGAGAAGTAAGTATTCACATTTTTGTAAAATATATTTTGGGAAATTCTCGTGAACGTAAAGTCCTGTATATATTTTGTTACAAATGACAAATACAGGATGTGTACATAGCTATGTATTCACATATAGTTCCAATCATTTGTAGGAAGGGGCATGTGTGGAGTGGATAGTCTTGGACTGTGAGTAGACAAATTGTAACATGAAGAGTGATCAAAGTGAGCTTTTGAGAAGAGAGGAGATGAGACAAAATCAACAACTAGAGTCACATGGCAAGAGTAGCAGCTAGATTAACTCACTTCACTTCTTCATAGTATTTTAGAAAAAAAATTGTGCCACGACTCCAGAGAATGGGAAAACAGTTCCATTCCTCTGTCCCCAGCTTCCAAAAAAAGCATAGGAAGTTAATTTTCTAAGTCACTATACAACTTTTGTGTTGTCCTTAGTCAAAATCAAAGTTAAAATTAACAGGAGTTCAAATAAGCAGGCAAGTAATGCCTCCAGAACATATTTTTAAAAAATAATTATAAGTGAAAAGATCTTTACCACTATGTCATCTAAGTGTATCAGCAGTCATCAGTTGTATTATTTGCATGCAAGAAAGTAAAAGAAGACACTTCTTTTACTGGAAAAATGAAAAAGACGAAACGTGAGAAAAGAAAATATTTTGTGCTATTAAAGAAGTTTAGCATCTGTCTTTACTAGAGAAATGTTCCCAAATCCTGCCTTTACAAGTGAAAGGAAAATTTTTCTTTCAATTAAGTGTATATCAAAACAGTCATACTATTTGTTAGTAAAATTATTTTCTTCAGAGGACCTAAATAGGAAGGAGAATGATAGTCCAGCTAATCCAGCCTTGTACTAAGTCGTATGGATATTTAAGTATCTGCCTGATTTGTGTCAAACATCTCACTCTTCCTTTAATACCTTCTCACCTCACATTCTGCAAAAATTGGTGAGTTTTCTACTTGGAGGGTGCTGGCAGTGGCCAGAGACAGACAGCAAAAGCTCTGCTGAATGAATGTAGGACTTCAGCAGTATTTACTCCAAAGAATAGGAAATATCTAAAATACTGTTTCTCATAAATTCCCTGGGTAAAGCACAGGGGGCTTCTGGATCACAGACTTGGGTTCTGCCATTGGTTGTATCATGAAACCCTAATCTAGAAGAGGAATGTACTAGTGATTATAAGTGAAAAAGATCAACTCTGTAGATGGCTTGGAGTCTCCTAATTTTTCATATGTGCAATTGGAGGGCATTTTTTTGGAAAAGAGGTTGGGTTACATTCATGTAAAATGAGATATCATTAGTCTATTGAATAACATCTTAAATCTTTATCTGTATATACTTCTAAATGGCATTCTTCAGAGATCAGTAGCCCCAACACAGTCTTAGTGATTGATACGTTCCGGATTTTTCAGGTATTAGATATTCCCCTTTAAGTAACTAGTTTTTACATGTATGCAGTTTTTCTGTCTTTCTGTGGATTTATTTGCTTATCTTTATTTTCCTTTTCACATTACTTTTCACATATCCACCGTGACAGAAATGGGTTGGAATAATGTAAGCACAGTGTTACATTACAAGAGCTTTGGTTATATGGATTCATTCTTTTGTATGAATAAGAACCTTTTTTTTTTTTTTTTTAAGGGAGTAGAGGTAATAATCCTTTTACCACAGATTTGCGTAAATCTTATGTACACATTGAATGAGTGGATATTTTGGTGTATGTTTGTGTGAATAATCTTGCATGCAAAGTCTGTTTTTAAGCCTACATTTTCATATGTAATATATGAAAATGTTAATGGGAAACTGTCATAGCCTTCATAAAACAAGATTTGAATTTAAATTCTTACCAGTTAAATTTCCCATTATATCATTTGCAATGCAAGTAGTTAATTATACATCTGACACTTACTTAACACTGGAAAACAACATCTACTCCCTCAGATATGAGGGTTTATCCTATGCAAGTGTGTGTATGTATAATAGAACTAAAAACAAACTTAGAAATTCGCTTTCCCCAAAAATCAGCATGGCCTAACTGGGACTACTGAAATGGTTTAATCCTAGGAGTAAAGTGTAATTGCAGTGTCAGCAAAGCTGAGATCAGTCAAATGGTTGCTGAAATGCTTTTACATTTTCTTTTATTTTAAAACTTTCCATTTTCAACTGGATTCTAAACTGGTTTTCTGTGGAAGTCTTTAAGTGACAGGAGTTGTACTCAATAATCCTAAAGTCTTTTCCAACCTAAATTATGTTATGATTCTATATATGAGGTATTACAATGTGTGAAAAATGTTCTAATGCTTTTTGGGGGTGTGAGGTAGGGCCGAGGATGGGATATACAGTGTGGGAGAACTAGTTTCAGATTTCCAATCTGCCAGACTTTGGGAGGCTTTAAACAAAGGCTCTGCATCTTGAAGTGCGGCTTGTGTGGCACTCAGGATGGGTCTGTCTGTTCCTCCAGTTTGAGGTAAAATGTAAATGTTTGCTGGGCCAGAGGGAGAGAGCAAATGACTCTATAGTCTAGTAATTAGCACACTTACCTCTAAATTGGGACAGACAGATCCCAGTCCTTGTTCTGGTGAATATTTAAGACAGCTGCTCTGAACCAGAGACAGGGAAAATTTTAAACTGTGCTTCTCCGCATCCCAAGGCAATACTCGGTAAGTTAGAAGATGCATAGGTGAATATATATGGTGAATAGCACTTGAATGCCCGTATCAATGTATAGTACATTTTTCCCAAAATTGAAGTGTCCAGATTTTATAGTATTTTAAACTGATCACTTTTAATAAAAACAATTTTGAGACTTACTCAGAAGAGAGTATTTTTCCAACCTAAGCTGCTGAACTTAATGTTTACAGGGCTATCTTTGCAGTTTATCCTCTGTGCCATCTTTTGTTCAGTCTGACAGTTGTTACCAGCAGGTCCAGTCTGCTATTTTCATTTTATACTTCATCAATAAAATCTCCTCATCATTTTCATTAACATTTTCACCACAAAAGCTGCAAAGTAATTAAGCAGAAGGCTTTTACAGCACTAATTACTTTCTCTTGAGCTGGACAGTGTTTTCTCCAATATTTCCTGTGTTACTCCATTGACTTAACTTTTCTCTTTTTTCTAGACAGGTAATTTGTATTTATCACACAAAGGACAATAAATTAATGGGTTATTATCCCATGACATAATGTTAGGAAGATGAGAGGGGAACCCTACGGAGCGAGTAGGCAAAGAACAGAGTAAAGAGCCTGGGGTGTCTGTATTGGACAGTCTTAGAAATTTTAAAAATATGGTGAGGAAGCCATGTTCATACTTTGCTACATTTGCTAAAAACTGGCAGAACAAACAGTGGTTCCATTTAGTCTTGAAAGGCAAAGGACATATTCTTTGCCTGGTTGAGTAAGATTGTGATTCATAATGTGACAAGCTGTGCAGGCTTTTCCTTCTTACTTTGCACCAGCTCTGAACATGTCTTGGTCCAGTCCCCTATTCAAGGTTTTGCAGGAGTGGATCACTTCACAGAATTGACATTGTAAACTACAGTCATGATTTATGCTGTTGGTAAAATGTAGAGTCTGCCTCTAATTACAATTAAATATATAAATGCTAGCTAAATACTAACTAAATGCACTTATAATTTAGGGCTTTTTTTTTTCTTTTCCCCTCCATTTCTTTTCAGACTGTGTGGTCATCTGGCTCATTACAGAGAAGTGGACTTTCCCCAGAGTTACCATTTTGTATTAAGGTTATTTTCCTTTCTTCTGAGGATTCAGCCCTCTTATATCCATGATGAGGTGTGTATGATAGAACACAAACTTTTTAATAAAAAACTCTATAAAAAGCTAAAATACAACACGGTCCTAAGGAAGTAAAACTGACCTAAAACTCCCAGTATTAAACCCATGTAAATTACTTGTTTGGATCCCAAACCATGGTATCACGTCTAAACTTATACTGATTATTTTGTTGGCATGGAAATTTTTTGTTAAGATAGTAGTGCTGAGATCTACTACTGTACTTTAGTTTTAATGTCATTTTATCTATAATTTAAGTCATGGTTATCCAGCTGGGAAAGGGAACTGCCAAGGAAACTGTTAATCACCATTTATTTCATTACTTTGCATCAGAGTGAACAGGAAGCTGTGAAAATAACGTTTTTTGAGGCATACGTTGTACATACTTGGAGTATACTGGATAGCATGTTAACATTTAATTATTGTGAGATTTTGCAATTAAAATATCTATTTTTTTACTTACCGTTGTATGACATTAAATGTATTTCTAGAAAATAATGTTTGTTTTGTTTTTAAATACTATTTTAACAAATAAAGGAGCAGTTGGTTGATGCTTTCATATCACCTTTTAGTAATTATTTCTAAACAGGCTGTTCTGGAACAACTCTGGCACTGTTTTCTACATTTCCTTACATCCTGTTTAATCTCCCAGTGTCTTGGTTACGGCTGAGCCTCTCGTTCAAGTTAACACCTTTCAGGTCCACGTTCCACTTGAGGCATCACAGATTTTGTAGATACTTTCATACCTGGTATAAAATCTCATCCTATTTCTTGTGCAATGGTAACTGCCAGGTCCTCCCATTGTTCCTCTTTTGCAAGGCTGCTGTCATAGCCTGGAATTTCTTCTGACTGCTTTATAGCCCAGCATCTTCAGCAGATTGGCTATTCTACCAGTTTCTCATGCTCCATCTTATTTATGCACCGTGTTTTTACGCTGTCCCAGATGACAGGTAAATGAAGTTGGGTGCTGCCACTACATGAAAGACACTGTAACATATATATATGTTGAACTGAGATGTTGCATAGATACCCAAATGAATACTCCTGCTTTCAGCTGCATGAAATTAAATTCAGCAACTCCAACCACCAGTATGGAGTACAGAACTTGCCAAATCTATTTGATCTAAACCAAAATCAACTGCTGTTTCTCAGTATTATTATAACTAATGGTGCCTGCAGACTTCACAAAGAGGAATAGCTTCCTCCCTGAGCAAGCGCTTCAGTGAAGTGTAATCTGGGAAGGTAATCAGTTCAGCAAGTCGACTGCAGAGGGTTTCAAATCTGTTGCAGTTCAATCCATGAAGCTGTTGTTTAAAAAGTGGGAACAGGTGAATGATAAAAGAGGTGATGTGCTGCCCCACCTGTCTGGAGCTAAGTGATAAAGCAGTATTTCAAGCACAGGTAGAGCAGACAAGACTATTGGAGGCAAGTTTTAAAGAGTTAGTGGAAATACCGGCAAACAAGGAGGCTCTGCTGACACAGTAGAGGCAGGAGCTAATTAAGCACAGTGTCCTGACTTGAGGTGACAGGTAAGACACAGTTTGGGTGCAAGTTTTTACTTTTCCAGGTATTTTAATTAGTTATTTTAGCATAGGGATTTAGAGCAGTGGTCCTATAAAGTGACTGTAACATGCAGATGAGAAGGCATAGTTTTAGCCATTCAGAGCTAAACTGTGCTTGGTAGAGGAAGAGGAAGGAGCAGACTGAATTGTTACTTGGTCTATGTTAGAGATTTCATAAGTGGGTACAGTTCAGTATGTCTAAATCTGTGCCAGGTACCTCAGACTTCTGGTGAGGTGTGTCTTGAACTGATGTTTACCTTAATAGACTTGGAACATACCAGTTTAAATCTCATCTTGTGTCTGGTGTTTGTGTTGTAAAATTAGATATTATCTATTACATTTGACCTCACCTGAGTGAATTACTGAAGTTTGTAACTATTTGGTAAAATTATTCATTGTTCTTTTTCTAGATGATTATTTGTATAGGTTAAAAAGTCTACAGAAGTGTAATACACATTGTCGCTATTTTCAGCAGTGCTTGCTCAAGCGACTGTCTCATTCTTTTTACTGTACTATCTGTTAAAGTTTTGAATTAACTATTTAAAAGACACCTTGTTATACATAAAGGATTAATTTAATTCAGAAGTTGTTGTTTGAAAGACTTATGCACTTAATTATAGGTATACCTTTCTTTTAAAACTACTGTAGTAGTAAAATCTGAGCTTCATAAATTAAAAATACTGTGTTCATTGTTACATTGTTACAAACATAAGAAAGCTCCCTTAGATGTTAGGCTAAATTAAGGCTGTACTTTAATAAACTGGAATAAAGCTTGTAGTTAATCATCAAGAGCCATGTGCCTTCTGGACACATAGGTTAAGAGTCAGGTTTAAAATAAAGGGTGTGCCCCAAAAATGCTTAATGTTAGTTCTATCCAGTTTAATCAATCAACACTTACACTGGAGTAATGATGGTTTAAGGAGTTATTGAGCCACAAGAGTGCCTTATCTTCAGTGAAGTGTAGTTGAGGTCTCTTGGGACAGCTACTCTGGGTCCAGTTAATGCAGCCTAGAGGCGGAGCCACACTGGTGGAACAGAGAGCTGCCTGTGGATAGCTGAAGGGTGGGGTGTCTGCACAGCCCAGCTCTTGCAACCACCTCTTCTATCCATTTTGAAATTACATCTCCTTTCTGTAACTATTTGCTGAAAGTGTCCAGTTAAAGCTCAGTTTTCTGCTGGCTACTTTTTTGTACTTACTCCTGTGGAAATGCTGAGTAACAGGGTCACCTTGTTTTGTTTCTTACTCTAAAACTTGAATGACAGACAGTTCTTAAGTATGTAGATAAAAGGCAAGTGAAGTTTTTTAGACTAAATTTTTGAAACCGTATATATTGAGAAGACTTAATTATTAACTTAGACAATAGCAAATCAGTTTTTCTAAGACCTTTATGTGTCTTCTAAAGTGAATTTAGTTGTTTTGCTAGTTTGAATGTTATATTTTAACACAGTTTTTTTCTGTCTTTAAGAGTGCAAAAGTAAATTTGCTTTATGAATTCTCCTAAATAAGGCAAGCTTTCTGTTGTTTCAGTGAAGTAATATGACAGATGTCTCTTTTTTTTTTTTTTAAGGTATAGCCTTCAGCAGAATTTGTATTTTACCCTTCCTAGTCTTTCACTACCTCAGTGTGTCTGCGTATCAACTTAGTCTCAGTCAAAGACATTTTTCTTTTTAAAGTTTTTATTGTTTTCCAGACATGAAGGAGGGGTGTTTGACTTTCTCCTTAACTTCTTACACAGAGTGAAGGCCCTGAACATGATTTAACCAGAGAATGAGAATCAGCAAAGTCCAATGCCTGCAACCAGTGCTAGTCTAATTTATTGGCTGTAGTGATTTGCATGGGCTTCACTGCAATTACATCTTTCCTAGCCCATTTTCAGACAAACCCTGGAACACAAATAGTGTTTAGAAGATTTGAGAGAGCTTCGTGCAGTATTGCAGGCAAGGCAGTGAATATCATAACTTCTTGGAAAGCTCACAAGTCCCTTCCTCAAGTGACTTTTCTCCCTTTATGAACAAAAAAGACTTTAGTTAGATCTGAATAAAAAATTATTTCAGGATATTTGTGGTAAATTGTCAAGAGAATCCTTTTGCAGGGTCAGGAACAAAAGAACCAACACCCACAGGGCCTTTGGAACAGGTAAAGTCTGAAAATGTTAAATCCCTGAATAAGGTGTCTGCCAATTTAGTTCATCTGTCCTTTCCCCATGTCAGGCTGAGTAAGTTTTATTCTTCTTCACAGGCAGAGAAAAGTCAGGATAATTCTGTGTAATGAATCTCCTATTTTGATCCAAAATGAGATGAGCTTCCCAGCACATATTTCCTGGCTGAGCATGTTAGTGTGTGGATTGGTCAAAGCAGTCTCTCACTGCGTGTACTAAATGCAGGATGCTTTCTCTGCAGCATCTCCTCCACAGTTACTGATTTTGTTGCTCCTCATGTGTGAAGCTCCTTTTGTTCGTGGCCAGATTAGATGAGGGAGAGCAAAAAGGAGATGCCAAGAGTGGAAACAGGCATATGTGAAAGACCTCTCACTGCTGTTTCTGCTAGGATGCTGCTGAAACAGTGAACAAGAGTAAGGATTAGCAGAACAGGAGATGGATGCTTGTGTCCTCACATGAGGTTATTGCTGCCCTTGTACAGCTGCTAAGGGCAGCATTTCCAGAGCCAGAACACATCTTCCCAGTCCTCGGCATCTACGCTCTGCCTCCAGCAGCACATCAGGTATTTTGCCAGAGGAATGTGGTTGTATTTTCTTCTGAGTCTCACATGGCTGGTCTCTATTGTGGAAGCATTCTGTGCCTGCTCATAGACCACCCTGTTGCCCCAGCAGTGGATGCAGCCCCTGCCATTGCCTCATGACAATGCCACTGAGTGTGTTCAGTGCCTGTGTTGTGATCTTAGAGCTTGGTCTGGATGCTGGGATGCTTCTGCCATGCTTTGTCGGTATAAAATTGTAGCAAACCATTTTTGTTCGTTGAACTGGGACCCGTGGCATTTGTAACTCCTGAGTGGGCAGCTGGGTGCTTTCTGTGCTGCAGAGCAAAGCGGATCACAGCGTGCAGTGAAGGACCTGCACATGCTGGTCTCTCACTACACCAGGGTCAGCCCACGTGGCAAGACCTATGGACACAGCAGTCAGTACTGGGGAAAGCGCAGTGCTGAGTAAAGACAATAAATGTTCAGTGAGACTGGATGACGTGCTAAAGATTTTAACGTCAATAAAACTTCAGGTTTCAGGCTATTTTTAATATATAGGCTGCTACAAAATTGATTAATTTACAGTGTTATATTTCAGAGTGTCCTCAGACAGGCTAATGGAACTGCACCTACTGTCCCTGAATAGTCTGTATGCTTGCAACAGTGTCCACATTATGTTTAGGGATAAGTACGGAATCAAAAGGGAATCTTTAAGGAATGTCTGCAAGATTGCATACAGGAATATGACTGAAGTGAAAAGAAAACTGTTTGTTCCATATTTCACACATTGTGCTTTCGTTTATTTCTTTATCCTTCCCCCTACCCCCAGCTTTTCCATCTTTTTCCTACAAGGCATTTCCTGCTTTGTTTTTGCTGTCACTTGTCTATTCCATTGTGCCTGCTTTCACCTCAATTTCTAGTGAGTTCAAGAAAACTCTGTCTGGGCTTTTCTTTTTTTTTTTTTTTTCTTTTTAAGCCCTTTGATGCCTTCAGGTTTATTCTGCAGGGATCAGCAATCAGCTTTGGGATCACTTTTCCAGCTCTACCCTTAGCGACCACAGGCCTGTGGCAGAGAAGGAAAGCCTTCCTGGCGTGGTGTGTAATGGAGAGTGTAGAAGCTTTGCTGCTCTTTACAGCCAACTCTGCAGCCTGGCCCTTGTATCTTGCAGGCTTAGATTAAGCAGAAAGTATCTTGTTTTGACTCCCTGGCACATTTTGTGAAATCAAAAGTACTGCTACAAACCTGATGCAACTTGTTTGTTTATTACACAGGTGTGAATGACCAGTGCGCGTAGATGGTAATTATCAGGTATGAGATTTGAAAACCATATTTGTTAGGTAAGTCATAACAGCAGCTAATTCTTGTCCAGAATAAATCCCATTTTTTCTAGATGGCAGTGTCAAAAGACAGACTAGGAAGAGGGGCATGCAGGAACAAGACAGTGCTTGGTCAGATGGCTTCCAATGTCATACAATTACGTGTGTGTGGGGGGGTTCCTTACGTTGGGGTAGGGTTCCTTACGTGTTTTTAGTGGGATTCGTTTAAAAGGAAATGAATGCATGAAGAAGGGAAGGAGAAAGCTGAAGGCATGACAGAGGCAGAAGGAAGGGTAAAGGGAAGGACATGAAAGGTGGAGGAGAGCAGTGTGATTGAGGCAAAAAGGCTGAGCGAGGGAAGAAGTTATAGGGAACACCAACCAGTGCAGAGCAAGGGGAGTCCTGCCAGAGCACTGCCACACCAGGCATGGCTTTAGGCCGCAGCCAAGGCTCTGCCAAATCCCTGTGTGCTTCTTGCCTGATTTTACTTGGTGATGATGCAACCCAGTTAGTGACATCACATAAATACACCTACCAGTGGTGTTGCAGAGTCTAGATTGTGACCGGCAGATTAGTCAGTGGTGTCACAATCCAGTGTTTATATCATTGTCTCCTGAATGTGGAAGAGATTGCTATGGCGATAACCAAGTTTTCATCAGTGTATCAGGCTGTTAAGAAAAGTCATCCCTTTTGCAAAGGCAAACACCTTTGAGTTATTTGGAATAAAATCATGGTAAACTCAAGTTAAGTAGGAATACCAAGCATGGTACATTACTAACATTTTAGCAATTTGGGTGCAATGTAAACATGTGACTGAACTCCAGCACGTACTGCATCTGGGTCACCTACGGCTACAGGGCAATATTATATTTTATTGTTAATGAAAAGTTTGCACCTGTGCCAAAAAGCAGCAATTGTGTCTGCATATCCCAGAATTCTATGAACAGATGCAGGGAATGTGAGGACTGAATGACACCTAACAAAGCCAGCAGTCCTTCCCAGAGCTTGTGATTTGGAGCTATTTTTGTGATTTCTGTTGGAAGCAAAGTGAGTTATACTTGTTTGGAAAAATGTAACTTTCTGACATCTTCATCAGATTATAGTATTTTTTTCATATGCGAGGACAGGTAAGAAATTCTTTTCTATGTAATCTTGAATTAGATTTTTTAAACTGTTTAAAAATGTGGAATACCTTTTACTGCATGTCATAAAAAACAATTTACATCAGTTCATTTCACTTTGTAGAGATCCTACTTCAGTATTGAATGATATTTATCTTTGCCATCCTAGTGGCAATGTTTGCAGATCTAAACAAAGCATTTTGTTTCTAGAATGCTAGTTGTAATCCAGTCAGAGGATATTAAGCAACTTCCAGGATTAGACCCTTAGTTAAAGTTTGTTCTCTTCAGTTTCCTATTTCCTTTGGTTGGCTGCTTGAATTGTCCTTCTATAATTTTGCATTGGAGTATATCCTGTACAAATAGGGAAGAGATTTTGACCTAGAAGGAGAGACCTCTTATTAGTTAGCATACTTTTAAATTACAGTAGCTATCTGAAGCATCTTGACATCTGATAGATAGCATCGTTGCTGTATGGGTTTGATTCAACTTGTTACTTAAACAAGCAACCTCCCACCCTTATTTCTCAAGGAGAAACTGAAGATCTTTCTGATTTAACTTCATGCATGCCACTTTGGATATAGCTGGTGTGTTTGTGATGTTGCTGCTGGTGTTAAACTGGAGGATTTCGATGCATTTGCAGCAGTAACTGCATTGTAAACCTCCCTTTCTCCACAAACCTGGGTTCATCTGTAAGGCACCAAATGACACATGGATCCACTGCCCTTGGGCAGCTGCTGTAGTGCTTGTGCAAATGCACAGAATCAGTCAGGTTGGAAAAGACCTCTGAGGTCATTGAGTCCAACTATGACCAATCACCACCCTGTCAACTAGACCATGGCACCGCCTGCCTTGTCCAGCCTTTCCCTGAACACCTCCAGGGACGGTGACTCCACCACCTCCCTGGGTAGCCCCTTCCACTGTCTTATCAGTCTTTCTACAAAGAAATGGCCCCAAACGTTCAATCTAGGTCTCCCCTCCGCAGATTAAAGTTATATTAAAAACAATTCATACAATTGTGTTTCGTTTAGATTTTCCTAAAAGTGGGTGTAGTACATGGGAAAAAAAAAAAAAAAAGTTATATGGGACGGGAGAGAAGGAGAAGGATCCCAGGGTACTTCCCCCGTCCCCCAGCGTGAGCCCCAGTGCAGGGGCGGGTCCCGGGGGGTGGCAGCCACTCTAGGCGGCCCCGGTGCCCCGTCCCGGGGTCTCTCCCGGTGCCCCGTCCCGGGGTCTCTCCCGCCGCCCGCCCCGCTCCGCTCCCTCAGCGCCCTCCGGGCTCCGCACGCGCCGGCCCCGCCCCCCGCGCCGGCCGCCCAATGGCCGCGCGTTGGCCCCGCCCCCCTTTCCGCTGCAGCCAATGGGGGGCGCGGCGCGGCGCGCGGCCACCTGCGGCTGCGGGAGCACCTGAGCGGGCGAGAGCAGCCGACAAAAGCCGTGGGAGCGGCGGTGCAGGCGCTGCTCGTCCCGACCCGCCCGGCCAGTTCTGCCGCCCGCTGCTCCGCCAGACATGACACAGGACTACGACAAGTGAGTGAGCCGGGCGGGGGAAGAACCACCGCGGCCGGTCCGACCGGTGTCGCCGCCCCGCCGGGGGGCTGCGGCTAGAGGGGCTCGCTGCCCGGGGCCGGGCCGGGGGAGCCGCTGTGCCGGGGTCCGCCCCTCTCCGTCCTCTCTGTGGGGGAGTGACCGGAGGCTGCGGCGGGGCGGTGCGAAATGGCGGGGGGCGAAGGGGGGGCTGAGCCCCGGAGGGGGGTCCTGCGGCGCCGCGGGGCGACCCCGGCGGCCACCCCGCCCCGCGGGGCGAGCGGCGAGGCCGGGCCGGCTTTGAAACCCGATCCCCTCAGCGAGGCGTGGGGCCGCCCCCCGCCCCGCGGGGCCGCGCCTTAAATGCGGGCGGCGGCGGCGGCGGCCGCGCCGTCGGGAGCAGCGGGCGCGGAGCAGCGCCGGGAGCCCCCTGTGCCGGGGCTGAGGGACCGGGCCGAGCCCCCGCGCCGCTGCCCGGCGGCCGCAGCGGCCCCCATGGACTTCTACGAGGCGCATCCCTCCGGCAAGGTGGACTTCGGCAGGTAAGGGGAGCTCCCGGCGAGCTCGGCTGCGGCGACCCCGGAGTAGCCGAAACGGAGTGCGGAAAGAGTTAAACTGAGCTCGAGGTGTGAGTGATGCACCTCCGTGGTGGTGAATGTGAGACGTCGCCTTCAAGCGGATCCCCGGCGGTGTTTAAAGATTCGGGTCTGTTCCTGCACTTGTCACCGTGTCCGTCTGTAGACGGTGGCCATGGGCGCTCGAATGCCAGAGTATGGGGTAACTCTGAACTGATTTGAAGAATCCATTATAAAATTTCTACACTTTTAATGGTTGGTGACTCAACACACTCCTTTCCTAGGGAAAGCATAGGTTTTTACCGAAGTTTTTATTTCAATATGCTACCCTATAAAGAGGACTCTAGTGCAGCAGCTCGCTAACTCGTCTCTGTCATTAGGATTTTTCATAGGTGTTCTTATTTCCAGTGACACTTAGTAGATAAGGCCGTAGCAGTTTGGTTACGTGCACTTCGCTGTTCTGGCACGCAGGAGACGGTGAGGGAAATCCTTGGTGCTGCCTCAGCATTAAAGGTGTGCGCTGTGCAGGAGCAGCTACAGCGTGGCTGGGCAGCCCTGAGCGACGCCAGGTAAATTGCAGGGTGAGGGAAAAGAAGGCAGGATCCTGGATCAGCAGAGTAAGTAGAAATAGTTTCTGTGATCTGAACACAGAGTGTTGAGTGCTGGGGGATCATCGCAGGCAAAGAGAGAGTATCTGCTTTTTGTAATACTTCTCTGCGTCCACTGGATTCACGTAGAAAATAAAATTCAGAAGTTATTGAAACTGCAGTAGGAAACTTAATTCCAGCCTTTGCTGGACACATCCACTACTTTGTAAGCAAATCCTCATGCCAGTTATCTTTTAACACTTTGGAAAAATATGTTTGCCTTCTATCATTAATATGTTCTTGCTTTCCTGAAAGAAGCTGTGTTTTTCCTAAAGGATTACGTTCCTGCCAAACCCTGCGTTTCTCTTGATAATTCTGCAAATAATTTTTTCTGCGCTGTCTGTAGTGGGGTGCTTTACGTGTAGGGCAGTGTGCATTATATTTGTGTGTTTCAATAACAAGTCACACTAAAATATGTAGGTTTTGCATTTGCTATGTTTCTGGTTAGTTGCTCCTTTAGTTCTCAGTATTTTTGGTTCTTCCTTGGTTCTCTCTTCACATGTGAGTTGCTTTGCCAGAGGGAATCAGCTTAGCGCTGTGAGTTCCAGCAAGGCTGACTTATCCCTTCAGCTTGGCAGGGATGGATCAAGTGAACTGCACCCAGGTTACTTCCAGTTACCTTTTCTCTATGAGAGTGTAACTGGAGGACTTACCTGTTTGTGATGGGTATTTGAGGCTTGTTTTATCACATTGTGTAGAATAGGAGCTTGTATCATGTCCCTGAAGAAAGTTCTGCTTTGTCTTCTATTTCTCCCCTGACTTTGATAGAAGGAAGATGTCCTCAATACCAGAGGTATCTGCATTTTGTTGTGTACACAGATACGTATGGAGACCTAAAGAAAGGGCTTGGTGCAGGAGCTTGTCTCCTTTGTCGTCGTTGTTTGCTTTTTGCCAACTGTATAATACTGATTTATAACCACAAAGTGCTCTTACAAGTCCTGGAAACTCCCAATTGCTTTCAGTGTCTTCAGCTCAGCCAAAGCTGTCCGATGGAAGCTCAGCAGGATGACTTGTGTAACTGATAAAGCATCGAACGCGTAATTTGCTTTGCAATCTTTTTGGTAGAAGGTGGTGATAAATGTAGGATACTGCTAAGCTGATTATAGTGATTAGGGTATTTCACAACTTTCTATTTCACAACTTTTTGTACTTGTAGTATATTTCAGTCCCTGAATGCAAAGAATGCCTATCTACCGGGGAAAGCGTGTGATGGTGGTGGGGAACTGCTTTTTGTGGGGTTAGTTGTTTTAAAAATTACAAGTTTGGGATTATTTAAGAAAATAAAGAGGCCTTCCCTTTTCCCTCAGCCAATCTGCAGTAAATTAATATTACACTTGCACTGGAAAGAAAACTGTTTGAACTGCTTTGAAAGTCAGATTTAAACATTATCTTGAGCTGACTTGCAAGAAGAAGCATATATTTTACCAATAGAACAAAAAAAAGTACTACGTTGTCTGAGCTGGCAGGACAGCATTTTCTGCACATGTCTGGCTTTTGTCTGTGAGCAGAAGGTCCAAGTTATGTTCCCAGCAATCTCAAAATGTTCAGAGTAAACATAATTTCTCTTTTAAATATTGGGACATAAAGGGAATAACTCAGATTTTTTTTTTTTTTCTTTCTTCACTTATCTGTTGAGGATATTTCAAACTAGTGTCACGGATTACTTCAGCAGTAACCAGGCAGTAAGTCTTTTGGTTTCCTTTGTCAGCGTAAAACACTACCATGTTGGTTTCAAGTCCCCTTGACCAATTTCCCTGTGTAGTCTGTAACTAATGGGCAGCTTCTAGGTGGTGTTTTTAGATATATTCTGGGAGCGAAGACACGTGAAAGCACTGGAGGAAAGAGATGTTTCGTTAATTCACATTTTCTAGTTCCACGTGGTAACTGGAACAGGTTGCAGCTTCTATGCAGTATTGCATAGGAGGCTTGATAAGTGGTAGGCTAGTGTGTGTGTAACTCTTTCTGGGTTGGATTCAGAGCATGAGCAGGTCAGGTGTGGTCTTAAACAGCTTTGCCTTTTTATATAGGCTGGTGTAATCCATCTGAGTTTGGTCAAATTAATCCTGATTTATACCGAGCATGAGTGAGATCAGAATTAGGTTTCTGGGCTTTTTGTGTTGACTAATCCTTGTAGTATACTGAATCAGAGTGTGAACCCTGTGAAACTGGGGCAGCTTATTTTGAAGAACTTTAGGAATGTTTTTCATGTGTTCTAACAGGTGGCTTTCTTTATTTCTTCTTTTCTTTTTATGATTCAAGTAAAAGACCCGTGTTGGTTCTTCAGAATGATTCTCTGTACTCTCAGAGACGTCCTTACACCAATGAAGATGAGGCCTGGAAAACCTTTCTTGAAAATCCCCTTACAGCAGCTACCAAAGCTATGATGAGCATCAATGGGGATGAAGACAGCGCGGCTGCCCTGGGACTGCTGTATGATTACTACAAGGTAGATTGGCGTGGGTACGCTCTGGCAGCCAGAGGAGCTCTTGTTCCACCTGTGGGAAAGGTGTCATTTGCTAGAGGATTTGACAGAAGCTATGAATAGATCATGAGGACTTTAAATGATGTGGTTTTCAAAGGGAAAAAATTCCACGTCTCTCCTTCTGAAATCTGGTTTATTTTTAGCTCAGTAAAATAAGATCCCCTGGATCTTAATGTGAAGGTTTGGTAGCACTTTGCTGCTTTTCAGCTTCCACAGCACTTCCTTCACCTCTTGACCCTGGGCTCTGCAGAAGGCAATGAGTTATAGAAATAGTCATGAAGAATGACACTTTGGTACCATATCCCTGTCTGAATGTAAATGTACATGGAGAAAGAAACTGCTTTTGCTCACGTGGTGGACCGTTGGCTTTTGCTGGAGCTTTGTTGTGTTGCCTTAGTCTCAGCTGATACTAAGTTATAACTACAGATTCTTGGTGATATGTGAGGCAAAAGTGTCTACCTGAAGGAGTTGCTATCTGCATCTCTCTGACCCTCAGTGAGCTTCAGCTACTGTAATCTGTTAATCCTTTGGCACTTGCGGTTCTCTTCCCCAGCGTTCATGGTCTTCTCAGAGACACGTGCCTTCCTGGTTGCTCACAAATGAATTGAGCAGTCAAACAGATTCTGGTCGGCTTGGGATGCATTTTGCTGAGCTTTCTTTCCTAAATACCAAAAGTATAAGCCAGGGTAGTTGTCTCCAGTCCAGATCAGTAGAGACCAGCAGGCATTTCCAGGCAGGGAGGGGTCCTGCTTGTGTTCAGATGCCTGTGCTATGGTGGCCTGGCTTACTGGCTGGAGATGCCTGTTTTTTCTTTGCTGAGCGTGCAGGAGTCTGACTTGGCTCTCGTGCCTGGCATTTTGGCCACTGCCTTTCAGTCTTAGTGAGTGGAGGTGCCAGCCTGAATATGTTCTTCAAGCACAAGGAGAGGTTGCCTGGTGCAGACAAAATCCTTGCCTGCCCTTTTTAGAAGTTGAACACGTCTTATGTATCAAAATATTCTTGTAATGCTTAATATGGAGATTAACTCTCCACACACACACGACAGAATGCCACAGACTCACTGATGTGGATGTTATTCAGCTATTTTTGTGAGAAAACTGGCTTTCTGCTTTGTGCCCGTGCTTGCTATGCTTTTGGGGGGGAAAAAAAGGAAGAAACAACAACATGCTTTCACTGGAACAATTTTAATCCACAGAATCAATTTTGATCTTTAAACCTGTAGATTACAAAAATAACGTTGATGTTGATCCTTCACGCTCAGCAAAGCAGAAGAGATTTGCTGTACATAAATGCCTAATTCAGGGTTTCCTCTTATGTTTGGGTATCAGTGGGTGTACAGAAAAAAGTCAGTGGAAGAGCAAGTATGCTGCACACCTGGGTGAAGCAAAATAGTTAGAGGTTGAAAGATTTATTGTGGGCTGTTATGGAGTAATGTTGGAGAGATGTCTAGGCAGTTCTATTTCGCCCCCTCTGCAATATTAAAGGCAGCTGATGAGATCACTTTTGTATTTAAAAAAAACCCAAATCAGCAAAACGAAACAACTTTCATTTCCTTCCATTGGACTAATGGGCTACCTTGATTGCTCAACTGTGGTTAATAAGGCCTTATAGGCAACAAATTTTGAGAAAAATCTGTCTTTTGGGAGCAATGGCCAAATGCAGCTTGGAAGACTCTTGTTTTTCAGATTAGGTAGTGCTGGTCTCCCATCAGTCTCCAGCTACAGGTTCTCCAAATTTTGCTGGTTACCATAGAAAATCTAAGAATTCTGGTGTTATTGGAGATTCATGGTTATGTGTAAGAATGAGGACTTAGTTTTCACGTGGGGGCTGTTTAAATAATATGCTGTTCATGCAGTTATTCCATCAGCTTTTGAGTTAGCACTAAAGTGGTAATTCCCCATGCTGGCAAACAGAGGCAGGATCTGAACAGGCTTCGGCAAAGGAAAGTGGTGGGAGTTTGCCTGTCCATACACCAGAAGGTGTTTACTCTGCTTGTTCAGGAGGCGTGTTGAGGGTGGCAGAAGTCCTGGGCCCTACGTGTGGGTTGGCAGGGGAGCTTGTGTGGACTTGCTGTGTGGCTGAGGGGACCTGAGCACCACGGGCTTGTGCCAGCGGTTGCAAGAGCTGTTTGGGTTGCTGAGGCATTGGCTGTGTTCTCCATCCAAGGAACTGAGGCACCACAGCTCCAAGAGTTCAGTCTGTGTGCCTTGGCCTTGCAGGGCAGCCAGGAAGATGCGTGTGGATGAGATGACTTGTGTGTTTGGTGTTGTGTTTTCAGGGCAAATCATGTCCATGGCATAAAATACAAGAAGCAGTATTGAGCTGTCTTAAATCCAGAGCGCTGGTTATTACCTTTTGTTTATAAAATATTTAATATAGCTTGGGCCAGTGTGTTGTGCGTGGCCACGCTCAAATATGAGCTGTAACATCCCAATATGCTTATTGGACCTGGTCCTCCACAAATCCCATGGTGTCCAAGAAGAAAGGAGAGCCTCAAGTGGTCTTAGAGGGATGGCCTAGAGAGGATGTGTTCTTGAGGAAGTGGCTATGGAGCAATGTCCTTTCACAAGCTTTGAGTTCATCCAGCAAACTGAACTCGGCCAGCCTGCAGAGCAGTAAACCTGCACTGCCAGCACAAACCTCGGGAAATCTCCTCCTGGTCCTGCTCATCCTGGTGCTGATGTTCCAGCCAAGGATGGATGGCTTTCTGCACTGGTTTTCCCCCCACCTGATGCTGACAGGAGCACAGGGCAAGGGGATCCATGGGGCATCTCCTGGGGTGGGCCTGGTATCCCCAAACCCTGCGAATACTGGTCAAGCTGTAATGCTAATAATGACTGACCATCAGAGAGTAATGCTTTTTTAATTTGACCAAAAGGCTGTTTTAAGGAAATAATTTTTTTTTATGTGGGAGTAAGAATTGAATTGTAGCATGTCTTAAATTTCCCAGGTTCCAAGGGAGAGAAGATCTTCAACAGCTAAACCAGAGGTAGAACATCCTGAACAAGACCATAGCAAAAGGTATTATTTTTTATAATTCCTGCTTCTCTGCTTATCTCCCTTCCCTCCTAGACCACCAAAGCTGCTGAAGGAAAGTAACTTGCTGCACTGTTGTGTTGTGCTGGAAGAGAGAGATTGTTTGCTTTTACTCTGTCCCCTAGATTCCTGTGTTGTCCCAGGAACAGGATAGGGATTGAAGAGGCTCAAACTGCTTTTTGTTGCCATCCATCTGCTTTTTATGTACTAGTGTCATACAGTCAGCATAGCAAAAGCTGCTCTCTCTGACATTAGGCACAGTCTGGTAGCACAGGCACCCCTTCCCCGGGCTGTGGAGGTCACTGGTGACCCTTTTATTTTTGCATGAGGTTACTTCAGTTACTCTCTTTAGATGTTGCTCTCGGGTACCAGCAGCATTGCTGTTTCATGCATTGGGCTAGTAGGGAAGGACTTCAAAGTGCTTGTAGTTTAGTTTTGGGTTGGTATTGCTTGAACTTCCTTTGTATCCTCTGGAACTCCTTTCTTTCTTCCCCTTCTTGCCCTCCTTCTCTCAAGCAGAAAATGGTACTGATTATTACCAATGTGAGGTTCACTTAAGCCAGGCTTCCAGTCATACCATCCTCTGTCTTTGGACAGATTAGAATACTTTAAGGACCTGAGGTGAGGTTTTGTGGTCTGGCTGAGCTGACTGAATAGCCTGTTTTTTAGAAGAGCAGTTTGGTTCCCACTGCTCCCCTTGTACCAGCTCTGGTCTTAGACTGACCCATCACCAAGCACGGAAAAAAAGGTGGCTTGTTCCAGCAGAACAAGCTGAACTGGCTCCTCAAGGATGTAGGGGAGCATCAGAATTGGTGCAAGGGAGCGGGCAGGACCACTTTGTGGGGAGGGAGAAAGGGAGGGCAGGCTGACTTAGTGGCTACTAGCTGTGAGGTCATCTCAGCCGCAGATCTGTGTTGTCCTGGCAGAAATGAGTGTGGTGGGGTGGAGAGCGGCAAGTTATGCAAACCACTCCCAGGTGTCGATTTTCTTAGGGGTTTGTGCATGAGAGAGGGGTGTAATTTCCCTATTAGTGCTTCTCTGGTGGTGTGCAGGCCTGGGGCAGAGGAGCAGCAACCTTGCTCTGAGTCCTTCTCCCTCTATCAAAGAGCCATTCCATGGAGGCTGTGTGTACCGATGTGTGGTGGGAAGGGCCTCGAAGCACTTAGTTTTGGACTGCTTCAAGCAGTGAGGATCTGGGCTGTGAACCCTCACCCTTTGCTCCAGGGTAATTCATCTCCAAGGTGGGCTGGTTAGCAGTGGGTGAGGAGTTTTTGGTTTTAATGAGGTTATCAGCTTTTCAGGTTAGGATTGAGCTGTTCTGCACAAGTAGGAGAGTTGGTGTCAGCTATCCTTGTCTAAAAGGCTGATAAGTATTTCTAGCTCTTGTTTAATGACAAAATAAGCTGTATAACTTAAGCATGATTTCTTTTTGCCCTTTTTAGGAACAGCATCCCAAATGTGACAGAACAGTCACTCATTTCTGCTGGAGAAAACAGAGTCCAGGTTCTGAAAAATGTGCCTTTCAATATTGTCCTTCCACACACTCCCCAGATGGGCATGGACAAGCGAGGCCACCTCACAACTCCTGACACAACAGTCACCGTTTCAATTGCCACGATGCCCACCCATTCCATCAAAACGGAAACGCAGCCCCATGGCTTTGCCGTGGGCATCCCACCGAGTGTCTACCACCCCGAGCCCCCTGAGCGAGTGGTGGTCTTCGACAGGAACCTCAATCCTGACCAGTTCAGTTCCAACACCCAGCCCCAAAACTCCCAGAGGCGAACACCAGACTCCACCTTCTCGGAGACTTTCAAGGAGGGCGTGCAAGAGGTATCAGGAGAGGCAGTTGCCCTGTGTGTGTGTGTGTGTGTGTGTGTTGTGTGTGTGTATGCGCGCGCGCATCTTGATCTGGACGGAGAGGTCCAGTTCCGTCTTTAACTGTTCTTGTTACATGAGTCAGAAATCTGTCCAGTGGTTTAGGAATAGGAGACTTTGTCAGAAAGGTGCATAAGTATAACTTAAAATAAAACCTTCACAACATGAAATCATTATCAAAAGCAAATGACTAATCTTACCAGTGACAGAGGCTTTGGCTTGCATACTGTGGAAATGGTTATCTCAATCCACAGCACTGAGCCAGGTTTTGCAAGAGTTTAGCACTCCGTGGTGCCCTTGCAGGTACCAAACTGAAGTGACTATGTCTGTAAGCTTTCTTACTGCCAGTTTCTAGGTGTGGTGTGTATCAGTGGAAAACAGTTGAATTATGTAGGGGCCTCGAGTAAGAGTTAAACCTGGATGAAAATCCATGGGGTTTGTTTTATGGTACCAACTGAAAACAACAGTGTTAATGTGTTTGATTTTTAAACCAAGCCTTAAAGAGCTAGCTATGTACCTATGCCCTTTCTTTGTGATTTGGGAAAGTTTTAAAATGTTGCTCTAAGCTGACTCAGAAGGCTTGTCAGATGTTGTTCTTAGTTGACACCCAGAAGTTTTGGATTAAAACACTGCTCAAGTGTCCTATTAGTACAGACCAAAAATCAGTTGTTATCTGATGATCAGTTTGCTTGCCAGAAGTTCTGTGGTAATGAGTATCGATTTAATCTTAACTTTTCTTGTTGCTGTTGTGTTAATTGTTGTGTTTCGTTTTGTGTCTACCCCAGGTTTTCTTTCCTACTGAACTGAATCTGCGAATGGCCAACATGAATTCAGAAGACTATGTTTTTGACAGCATTTCTGGGTAATGTTTTAAGGCCCCCATTTGCCCATATCCTCCTATTCTCTTACAGTCATCCCCAAGCAAACATGCCATTCTGCACCAAGTCTCAGTCAGATACTGGAGGGGCTGTGGATCTCAAAACCACAACAGCATCTGCTCATTTGAATTTCACAGCTGAAAATCCTACCTTTGTCTTTAAAGGAAACTACTTTCAGGAAAACTACTTGCAGGGTTGGAAACACACCCAGCTTGGGTCACTGTCCTTGTACCAGCACCTTGTCCCATGGGAAGGTGCACTGCTATCTGTCAGCTTTTTGGTGGTCTGGGAGTTTGCTTCCAGCTGTGTCCCTCTCCCTGGTCAGCTTGTCTTGCTCGCTCTCTCTGCTGGAAATCTACAGCAGAAATAGGAGCTCATCTGAATTCCAAGGGAGGGGAGCAGTTTAGTTGTTTGATTAGTTGCAGTTGACCAAGAGGGCCATGGTCACTGAATAGCTTATTAGCTTGTGAATTTAATTAAATTGCTAATAGATACTTTTCTGTTCCATGAGAGCAGCTTGCTGCTCTCAGCCTGAATAGGGATCTTCCAGTCTTGCCTGCTGATGTGTCTTGGGATTTAGCTTGCCAAGAACTTCTCTTAAATGTTCATTCATGAAGGAAATGGTGGAAAAAGGGGCTCATCCTGTTTTCCAACTTCCTTGCCTGTTGATGGCTTAATGAGTCAACTAACAACTTTGGAATTTCTCCAAATTAAATGTGGAATGTTTAGTTGGCTTTCCAGGAAAATGCCTTAGCAATCACTACCCTCTTTGCTCTATAGGAATAACTTTGAATACACTCTGGAAGCCTCCAAGTCCCTCCGACAGAAGCCTGGGGACAGCACAATGACTTACTTGAACAAAGGTCAATTTTACCCCATCACACTGAAAGAAGTCAGCAGCAGTGAAGGAATCCATCACCCCATCAGTAAAGTCCGAGTGAGTGGCAGCTCTTGTGGTTTCTTGGGAAAGAGGGTGTGTACAGTGGTGGCCTTAAACTCTCCCAAAGTGCAGTAATCTAAACTAGAGCATCAGCACTAAGGCCAGCTTACCCCGCTCTTACGTCAACGTTTGTTCCTTTGCTGTCCACCTACTTCCAGACCAACCCATCCTGGCTCAATCTGTTAAGAAGTGGTGTCAGCACTTGTGTGAAGGTGATGCAACACCTGGAATGAGATCCTTGAATTCTAGTTAGGAGAGCAGCTCTGCTCATCTCTGTTTATGACCCAGAAAGTGATGCTGTCTGTCTTCCAGTTTGGCAGCAGCGTGGCAGGTGCACTATGATGCCTCAAGTGGGAAAGCCTAAAGCAGAAAACCTGATACCAATGAGAACTTCCAAAACAAATATACTCTCTGGCCTTTTGTCTTTCACATTTTTGTTTTTCTTTTCTTTTTTTTTTTTTTTCAATCTTTCCCCCCTTCTCCTTTCAGAGTGTCATTATGGTCGTGTTTGCTGAAGACAAAACAAGGGAAGATCAGCTCAGGCACTGGAAATACTGGCACTCAAGACAGCACACGGCTAAACAAAGATGCATTGACATAGGTAAGGAACACTCTCATTACTGATGTCAAACTTCATGCCTAATTCCTTGGCAAGGTTTGGTTTTCTGCTAAAGCTTTGTTATTTTAAGGAACACTCTCTCCTATCCATGGGTTTGCTGAAAGCCCAGAGAGAGCTTTTGATTCCTTGGAGCTAATGCAGTTTTTAGGACTCCCTAAAGAAGCTGATCTTTGGAGGATTTTGGTTGGTAGGTTTTGCATTAGGAGATCTAACACCCTCTTCCAAACAACAGTTGCTTTGGCATATCCTGGTGCTTGCAGCTAAATCACAGCTTGTAGTCTCAGTGGCTGTCCTAAATATTGCATTTCTTCAAAGGACAAGATCCTCATAGAAATACCTCAACACTAATGATCCTCCTTCCCACAACTTTGCTCACAACTGGTCTTTGGTACATGAAAAAAAAGAAAACACTGCAAATTTCCACTTGCCTCTAGACAAGGCTGGGGCTGGCCGACTTCCAGCCTTCTCTGGCTGAAGGCTTGGTTGTTCTCCTCGTCCCTTCCTTCTGTGAATCAAAGCAGGGATTAATCACTTGGCACTTAAAGCAGACGCGTATGCAAATCTTTGTTTGTTATTGAAGGAGTTTTATTGAGAGCTTATATCCTTGCTGTACAGGGTAGAGTTTCCTGCACATAGCAGGTTATGGCACAGAACACCTGATATTTGGGATGTCTTCCTTTGTCACTGGAGTTTCCAGTTTAGAATTTCTGCAAGTCCCATTTTCCTCCTTCCTCACATTTGTTGGGGTTAAAAAGCCATTTCCAGGCTTTTTAGTGATCCATTCCTAAGTACAGTTCAGCTTCCTTTGCTGAAGAGTTGCAGTTTCTGGCTGCTTTGTGTGATTAAGGACTTTACATGGTACGTCTTCTTCCTTTCCCTCATAAATCCTTCTTTCTAACAGCTGACTACAAGGAGAGCTTTAATACCATCAGTAACATCGAGGAGATCGCGTACAATGCCATATCCTTCACTTGGGACATCAATGAGGAAGCGAAGGTATGTGACCACGATTTTATTTCCTGTGCTTTTAGCAGATTCAGGGGCTGGGGGAGGGGGAAGGGTGTGTGGCCTACCTGGTGATTAGCATGTAACAAGTTTGTTTACGCTCTTACATTAGGCAAAACCTTCTGGCTATTTCTTAAGAGGGTTTGGATGTGCAACTGGGAGAGCTTTGCAACTGCTTTAAGGTTCTTGGCAGAACCGCCTGCCTGACAGACAAGTACTGACAAAAGGAAGCACTGAGCGTTTCCAGAGCTGATGAAGTGGTGCGGGAGGTGTGATGGAGCGTAGCTGGGCTTGGCAGTGAGCACAGCCTCCTGAAGGATCCCTGTGGGAGGCAGGGGGCAGCTTCTGAGGGAGTTAGGGCTGTAGCAATGGGCTTGCCTTCAGCAGAAGAGGGAGTAGCAGCTGCCTCTGAGCTCCCAAAGCGTGCGTTGCTTAAACCACAGGTCCCAACACCCAGTGACCTATTTCAAAGTAGAGCAGCCTCCTGGTGAACCCTGGTTTGATCTTTTCTCAGAACTGTGGGCACTATGGCAGGTGTGTAGGTACAGGCAGCATCCCTAGCTAGTAGCTAACTGCAGCTGTTTGAGCCACTCCAGCTTTTGGAAAAGGCCTGTATATCTTTCAGGTGCAAGGACAGTAGGTCAGAGAGCTGAGTTAACTCAATTCTAAAGGCATTTCCCACCAGTTTGTTGCTGGAATCAAAGGGCAGAAGTTTTTCTTTGTAGAGTTTCATTGCTTCTTGGATTTTCATGAAAAATTGGGAATGGTTTCCTTGTTTTGGAGACTGGCTGTTGCCTTGCTAGTGTATTATGTGCTAGTCACCAGCATCTTGGGGAAAACCACTGATGGCTGCAGAGTGCCATGTCTGGGGAGAGCCTGGCTTGGGGGACATGGGAACTCTCAGCAGAGAGCACAGGTCCTTCTCTGGAGCAGTGTGTGCCAGTGTGCTCTGCAGCAGGAACAAGGGCTGGTGTTACTGCACAGAGCTCCCTCTCACTATGAGCTTTGCTCTCTGCTGCACAGTGACTGTAGAGAAGAGGTTGTATGGGGACTGCTGTTGGGTTTCAGCTCTGTGGGAGACGTTTAGGATGCTTGGCAGACAGCAGTGAGGAGCTGTGTGTGCTGCTGCTGAGAGTGCTGCCTTGCACCATGTGTGACATTGCTTGTGAAGCGGGTGTTGGGTGCCAGGCTTCCCTGTTCACCAGGTTTGCCTTCAGTCAGGTTGAGAGGGCTGGCAGGGAGGGCCTTACCTGCTGGAGAATACTAAAAGGCTGAGATGATTTCTGAAACATGAAGCACTTCACTATGTGAACAAGCAGATAATGCTTCAAAAGGGCTGTCAAAAAGAGTGAGTAAGTATTCCAGATGTGTTATCCTGTTGCCATAGCCCGTCAGACATTTAACAAACCTGGGTAGTCACTGTCTACAGGGTACTCAAAGGCTTAGGATTTGCACACAGGGGTGGATCATGGAGACAGAGCAATTCAACTCCTCGGGGAGCTGGAAGCATTTTCTGCAGCTACCTCTCTGCTGGCTGAGCCATTCTGCAGCAGTAGGGATGGGTCACTAACACAGGAGCAGGGCTTGGAGATGGTGCAGAGAACCATGTGTATGCCCCAAGGAAAGCCATCCCTTCCTACCAGGTAGTTATTGCCCAGTCACTCTACAGGCACCTAAATGAGTAGTTTCAGTCTATGGTATAGCATATTCGAAAGTTCTAAGGACCCTCATGGTGATACTTCATCTCAGGACTGAACTTCATGGGATGAAGTGGTGTGTGCTGGTGTGAGACAAACTGATTTTGTACCTGGACAGGCAAATTTTCTTCCAGATTCACAGTCTTAGTGTGTGAGATCCATATATTGTGAGTACTGGTTTGTATGAACCCGCAGAGGGGACTGTTGATACCAAATGTACAAGCCTTGGATCCTAGTATAAGAATCATATTTAGATAAAAATAATCTCGACTTCAGTGTTTAAAGAATTGGCATTTTGAGCAAGTGCTCTGTGTGTTTAAGGGTCTGTTTAACTTCAGTATTTTCCCTGAGTGGATGTGTTTTGTCAATGGTTGAATTTCTCACCAGTAGAGCTACAGTTCTTTCTCAACTTCTGTGATCTTATCAGGAGATGTCTGAGCCAATTTCAACAATTTTTATTGCATGGTTCATTTACCTTGCATGCTCTCACTCTCTCCTTTCCCTCCCCCACTGCCCCCCCAACAGTAGTCTTAAAGTATATGAAGAGAGCAAGTTTCTAATGCTGCAGAAAGTCTTTCACAGTAATAAATACAGTGTTTTATGTTTAATAACAGCAGAAGTGCTGTGTAGATGGTGTGTTTAACCAGCCAGCAAGCCTTGATTATTAGAAATTTGCTTCCTGAGCCCTGGAGTTACCTGGACCAGAGCCAGGTGATTCTTCTGGGCTTGCTGCTTCTCCTGTTTCCCTCTTGCTTTTGCTTCCAGTTTGCTCTGGGAATGATTTGATCCCAGTGTCAAGCAGCATTGCAGCAGTGTCAGGTGGGAGGTGATGAGGCTCTGTGTCTGGGATTTCTGATGTAGTTATTCATTTAAGCACCCAAGACTCTGGGTGTGTGTCATATTTAATGTAAAAGTAGCATATTATCACAAGGAGTTGCCCCTAGCTGCTCTGGGACCCAGTTCTTGCCTTTTTGTGGGCATGTGCAGGGATATTGCACCTCTGCCACTGCGTCTGTTCAGGAGGGTGTCACCTGCCAGACAGAGTGCTTTGCCAGTGCCCTTAGGGCACTGTGGGGATTTAGCAAACTACACCTTTCTGGTGAAGAAATGCTCCTTTCACACAGTGAGTCATGTGCTTCCTCTGTAGCGAGGAAAATGTGTGGATTTTGCAGCTGTAGAGTTGTGGGATGGAAAAAAAAAAGCTTGAGGTGCCCTCAGCAACAAGTATTTCCCATTTCCCAGTTACATTGTGCTGGGAGAGCTGAGAGCAAGGCCAGGGCTTTGGTCACTGGATGCGTCGGACGCGCCTGGCTCTGCGTGGATGGGATTGTCACACAGCTGGCTGCGTTGGTGTGCTGTTTGTGAGCCCGTGGGTGTAGAAACCAGGAGGATTTCATGCATGACAGATGCTTCCCACTCTGGGACCCAGACCGTGTCCATGGATTTCAGAGCAAATTTGCTTCTCTGGCAGCTCCCCTCTGCCCTCTTCTGTTGTTTTGGGACATCACAGGATCTGCTGGAAGCAGCTGCTTCATAGAAGAGGCTGGGTTAAGTATTCTCTGACCTTTGCAAGAGTGTGTTCAAGTTGGAAAAGGGCCCAGGATCCAAAGCCTCATTGCTCTGAGACGGTGAAGGGAGCTGAGGGTGGGGGGAGGAAGAGGAAAAGTAAAAACCCTAACCCAAACTGCCCTGAAGTGCTGTTGAGATTAAAAGGAGAGTGAAGTCAGGGTTAGAAAGATTGTCAGGAAAAACTGTGGAGTGATGAAATGGTAATTCAGATGGGCTTTCAGGTGTCTGTGTTAGAGGTGAGGTCTGACCCCATCACTTCACAGACCAGGGATGGGGAATAATTGGATGAGGAGACAACCATGCTTTGAGAGAAGGAAAGGGAGCATGGTGAACTGGAAAATTTAGTTTTAGATGAACTGGTAATTTATTGAATGGGATATTTAAGAAAGATATTTAAGATATTTAAAATATTTAAGATATTTAAGAAGGCTAGTGTAGCTGCCCAGTCAGGAGCCATCCTGCTTGGGTGGAAGCGTGATTCAATGAGTCTGACAAAGATGTGTAGCTGATACTCACTTGCACGCAACAGGTAACGCTGGAGTTACCCTGAGGCTTGTGGAGACTTCAAACAGTTTCCCACCCCATCCTGGATGTCTGCCGTGTTGGGCAGACAGTCGAGGTGGGGTTCTTCTCCTGCAAAGAAGCTTTTAGATGTCTGAGCACACACTCGTCATCTTTCACATCTATGACTTCATTAGGGACAGGGTGTCTAGAGCTGGGATAGAGTTTTCTCTGGAGGTGCCTGCCCCTTGTTGTTGACTGAGCAGGCCTGGCCATCTTCAAAATTGGGATTTTAAAGGTAGGGAGGAGAAGTTGTGTCCTTGCAGCCCTTTTTGTATCTTTAACCTCTGTATGTCAGTCAGGAGAAGCATTTATAGGTTCAGATCATGAGTTTTTGAGGTTGGGAGCCATCTAGTCCGAGGTACAACACGCCTGGTTCCCCATTACAGGTCTTTTAATGAAAATTGCCATCATGTTCACAGTTAAATGCACACCTCATGCTGCTCTTCATACTGTTGGCTGTTGTCCTGTTACCTCTGTTGTGTTACCCGTTAGGCTGTGAAGCAAATCCTCTGTCCCTTAACTTTGGCCTGGGGACATGGCCTGTTCTCAGGTCAGTGGCAGTTGAAAAATCTGGACAGATTGGTTTCCCCAGGGTTAACTGGCTTTGCTGGATCCTGCTTTGCACAAATCTTGTCTGAGCTCCTGCCCTGTGGAGCAGGAGGGTTGGGGCCTCCTGTCTGAACAGAGCGAGTTGTGTGCGCGGTGATTGCGAGATCCTCCTTGCCCTGTTTTTGTAGCTATAGCACTGCAAGGACCCTGCTGTTGTGCTGGGGCACCCCTTCAGTGCTTCCCAGTGGGTTTGTTCTGAAACATAGCATTGCTTCTAGCAGCTCCCAGAGAAGGGCCCCCATAGGGGTCTTCTGTCTGGCTTGCTTAAGGCTGGATGGTGGGACTGTAGCCAAAAATGATGTCATTGCACATTAAGGGCATTGTCCTCCTACTCCTTCCCTCCAAAAAAAAGGCATTGTAAGCCAGATGATCTGTGTGAAAAGACCCTTTCTACTAAGAAGGGTGTGAGTGTAATAAGCATTTTGAGCTGGAGAATATCATGGTAGAGCTTTTTGCTGCCTTTTCACCAAGGGAAGCTGCTGTATTATCTCTTAAGTGATGCCCTGAATGACAGAGCAATTAATCAATGCTTCTTTTTTTCTTGTCTGGAAG